TGTGTGGGCGCAGAGCCGCCATAGCCAGTTGAAGAGAACTCTTATCCGGTTACGATATCTTGAGTACTGTGTGGGCGCATGTCGCCAGTTTGCTGTATCGCTGTTTGCATGCAAGACAAGTGTGAATGATCCGAGTCTGATTGCAAGTACGTCAATCAGAGAAGCTAACTTCAGCAGGGGTGGTACATCCGACCCTCCGGAAGTAATCAATGCCGTCCTTCGGGCCTTCCCAACATAAGGGGAAGGAGCGTGTGTGAGTACTCTTTGTATCTTTTTTTCTGACTTGCCGGTGGAATAGGAACCGGACTGATGCTCCCCAGAATGGATATATGGAGCCAGAACCATGCAGTTCTGTTTTCTTGTGTTAAAAAAGAAAAAAAAACACGCAGGCAAACACACAGGCAGACTGTACAAGTTATCTTTACTATATCTGACCGGTGCTACAACTCGTGTTACGATCCTGGCCAATTTCAAAGTATACATTCATCAGAAAGTACAATGCCGTCCAATTGCAAAAATAAATGAATGAACTTGAGAGGAGAGAGAGGGAAGAAGAAGAAGAAGAAGTAAGAAAGAAGAAGAAGATGATGTACTCCAGCATAGGCCAGTGACAAGGCTCTTCTTCTTTGCCAACCAATCTCCTCTTCCTTATCTCCTCCCCTGTTATTCAAACAAGAAATAACAATAATAGTGTTGAATGGCTGAACCAGAATCAATGTCCGAATCCCACTTCTACTGCAGGCACAACATGAGGTCCACCATAGCCATGGCCACCCTTCCTCTTCCTCTACATGCAGGCCGAGGCTATGGAGGAGAATTGAGTGCTCTACCCTCCTGTCCAAAGGACAACCCAAAGCAGCTATGTCGCTGCCTCCCTGTGCAAAGGGCAACGTGAAGCAGCTATGCCCCTGCTCACTAGGCCGCCATGCCTGTCTCTGCCCCGAGCTTCCTTGGTGCGGCTCTACCCCAACGGGGGCCTTCCAGATGCAGCGCCTAACAAGGTGATGAAGATGGTGTCCACCATAGCCAGGTAAGTACCTCGCCACTCTCCTCCTTGCTCCCCTTCTCCCTCCTCCTCCTACCGGTAGAGCTCCACCATGGCCAAGGTGGAAGCTCCCGGCTTCTTCCTCCCAGCAGCGCTGTAGTACCCAGCGCTACTCCAGCCAGCGCTCCAGCAGCGCGCCGCCAAACTTGCACACTGAAGAACGAGGCCGAGCTCTTGCCTTGGCCTCTTGATATAGCGGCCTGCTTGCCTCCTGGGCAGTGACTTCCAGGCCGCTCGGCCTCCCAAGCAACCGGTACCTCCTCCCTTTCAAAGGGAAACATCATTGCAGACTCTGATATTGCCCGTACAGGCTCTAGACTCAGACTGGATGGACTGGTACCGGCCTAGACCTAGCCTACCGCTACTGGGCCTCTAAAAACGCCAACTTTGTCTTCTTCTGCTCGGCCTCGAGTACCCGGCACATCTACTGCTACTGGGTGCGGTACCGGCCTACCTGCTACTTGAGTGTTTTTCCGTTGCTCTAAGTGCCGTGGGCCTCTGGCTCCGCCACTTGAGTGTTTTCCCCTGCTGCAACCCTCAATGCCACGGCCACAGGTAAGTACCG